CCTCTGTGCTTCAGAGCGAGATAACAGATCCAGGCAGGAGACATGATGTGAAAAAAAAGGTAAAAATCAGTCCTGCAGCTCAATAATGATAACAAACTAATGACATTAGCGTGTGACCGAGCCGCTCCTGAAACAACAACAAACACATGTTCGTCTGTAATGGCTGCCATCTACCGGTGTTCTGAAAAAGTTTGTATCCCTGAAAAAAGTTTCCCCACCAGAGGGGGCACTCGCAAGTAGGAAGTAATCTGCTTTTGCCCCCACAAGATGGCCCAAATCTTATGTGAAGTCTTTGACTTTTGTGTTGGCGCATGGTGGACTTTGTGTAAAACACCAGAATTCATTTGATGCTGCTACAGCTGATATATACTGTATTTTTGTTGTCAAAATACCTTTTAGTACATATGTTGTTAAAATAAAATGAACAGTCCAATGATCATTTTACTGATATGTATAATGACTGCAAAGGCTGAAAAATCTTGAAGTCTGTATGAAATTGGAGGTAGTTTGAGGATTAATTTTTTTATGCTTTTTAAGCTAAAAGGGGGGGGGTCGTATTATACATGAGATCTTATTATATACGAATAAATACGGTAGCACTTTTCAGCAGCAAGGTGGTACAAAGTGCTTCAAGTGCTTCAACTCATTTTGCACAGAAAAGCATAAAAAAGAAGCTTGATAGCAATGTTGAATGTCACACCATTAAAAAAAACCTAGTTGCGTTTAAAACAGTGACACTTAAAAGTTATTTCATTGTTTAAAAGAGGTTGTTTATTTTATTGCACCCTGTTATTTATTTTAGTTTACTAATATTGGGCCAAATGGTCAAAATTGCACTGTGAAATAAACTGCAATGTGACTGGCTGGAGATTGTGTGTGTGTGTGCTTGTTTCTGCTACAGAGTGAGGACCGTCATAAGTTTTTAAACAACAAAGTGAGGTCATTTTCCTGGTTCTCACTTTTTTGCAGCTTATGGTTAGAGGTGTGAATTATGTTTGGGTTAAGGTTAGAATTAGGATTAAGCATAAATGCAGTTACAAAAATGAATACAAAGTCCTCAATTTGATGAAAGTACAAGAGCACGTGTGAATGTGTGAAAAAGTTTGGAACCACTGCATTACACATACTGTAGCTCAAAAATAACTGTGCCTAACTGATGAATTTATGCTCCACAGTTCAGTTGTAGCATTGAGTAAAATGTAAATAAAAACAAAATTCGACGATTTGCAAAACTCATAAACTTATAATTTATTCACAGTGAAATTGAGTAAACATACCAAATGTTGAAACTAAGAAATTGCATCAATTTTAAAATAAATTAGGTCATTTTTTTAAATTTAATGTCAGCAACACATCTAAAAAAAGGTTGTGACAGGACCATGTTTCCCACTGTGAAGCAACAGTCTGTGAACATCGAGGAACTGAGAAGTTTCTGGAGTTTTTTAGGGAGAATGTTGCCTCGATCTGATCTAATGTAAGATTTGTTTACTGTTCTGGGTCTTCCTCTCTGGATTCTTAATTTGTTGATGTGCCAAATGTTTTAAGTTAGTGATTTATCTGCACCTCGGGCCAAAAAATTCAGCAGCTGGACTCTTCCTCTACAAAGCCATGCAGTTGTTACAGATGCGTTCTGCAGTTCATGCAAGATGTTTTCTGGATAGGAACACATGTTCTAAAATTAGTATAACCTGTCCTGCTTTGATGCTGCCTTTCCAGATATGAAAGCTGCCCAGTGCACCCCTATACCATCAGAGAGGCAGTCTTTAGAACTGTGTCCTGTGTCATCCTTACAAAGGATGTAACGTGTGTGGTTTTCAAATCTTAATTTGTCTGACCAGAGAACTATTTTCCACTTTGCTAAGCTTTGGCCCAGAGAAGATGATGGCATTTATCAGTGGTGTTCTGAAACGGCAGGGCCGTTCAAATAAATTGCTCAGGGGGCCAAAGTTATTCAAAAACCTCTGAAATCCACTGCTATTTGTCCACAAAATATTTTTTGGCTGACATTTTTCTCTGTGCACACCCATTTTATCTTTGTCCAAAAGGTTATTTTTTATTTTTTTATTTTGGCCTTTTGACCATCTTTATAAATATCTGCTTCTGGGTACAACAGACAGATTCTGGAAGCAAGTAGTTGAAGCAAAATGCAACTTATGAGCACTTTCAGCATAAACAAACATGCCCACACATGTCTGACCAATCACACAGTCATTTCTTATTTGGAGGTGTGTGAAAGGGAGGGGTGGAAGACTCATAGCTGTAAAAAAAGAGACACAATTTTCGTCATTCAACTGCGACAATAAGTGCTGATTTCAGCAGTTTGGATGGAGTATACTGAGGCCTTATTGGTGGACCGGACAGAAGTCCCCCACGGGCCGGATGTGGCCCATGAGCCGCCAGTCGAATAGTCCTGTTATATGACGTCTTTCTTTCTTCAAACCTTTTTTGAAATGCATTGCTACCATAAAGTTATAATTTGTCTTACATTAAAAAATAACTATAATTTCATTGTTTCAGCATTRGATACATTTACTATGTTTTATTGTGGATAAATAGTAGTTTTGAGATTTGCAACTTGTTGCATTCTATTTTATTTACATAGTACACATCATACCAACTTTTTCAGACAACCTGAGAAGCTCAGTTATACTGTATGTAATTAAACTGTAAGCAGAATTAGAAAACAACTCGAAGTGTGATTCAGCCCAAACAACCGGCGCAGGTATTGAACTAGAGTGTGACATCCTGTTTTCTGATCATGTAACTGTATGTTTAATAAAAATGCTCTTTGTATTTTTTTATTTCAGATCTGCTCAGAGTGCACAGAGCCCACACTGGCGCAGAGTCTGTGTACGCTGTGCAACAAGTGGTTGTGTTACCAGTGCACCGACGTGCACCAGCATCAGAGACCCCCCGCCGCATCCCAGTACTCTGATTCATACCAGCAGCCGAGGCCCGGTGCCACCCAGTGTCCTGACGTCCACCAGAGGAACTCCGGCCCACTTCCTCCTGCTGGACAAGGCAAGACAGTAGAGTAGAAATCAAGAATCCGTGTGTCCCGGTCCTTTGTTGTGTTTAATACTGGATGACTGCAGCAGGAACCGTTTGGACTGAATAACGAAGGATGATGTTTGATACAAGTTCCTGGAGATCCATGTGCTTCAGTATACCTATCTTTAACTCCTGGCCCAGATTCCAAAGTGCTTGGATGATTTCATTTCTGCTAATTTTAGTGTCTTGCTATTTAAAGCCCCTCAATTATGCCCAGCACACTTCTTCGTCGCCTCCTTCATTTTGCAGGCCTACCCCGTGCAAGAAATCAAACCAAAACAAGCAAATCTCAAACATGTTCATTGTGATAAGGGAGCGCTGCCGTTTCATTTGTGTTCTTGTGAGAAAAGCTGCARGCGTTTGCTGCAGACAGGATGTGGTCAGTCAGATCGGGCTGATGCACCCAAGGTGATGCTTAGTTCACTGCCACAGAGAGCTGTGATGATTTGCAGGCAGGACTGGGGGGTGGGGGTGAAGGGAGCTGGTCAGCAGAGAGCGGCTGGGCTTTGTTCTTCTGCCGTAAAGTTATTGTTAGATCGGTGTTCTGTATGCCAAACGTTCCTCCTCTGACCTATTTACAAGRACGTGAGGCATATGTTTTGCTGTGTGTTTTGTATTTCTGTTGGTCTTTGAAGTAWTTTGATGGTACTTCAAAGCTACTGTTCTGAAAAATTGTTTACTTTTTGTCACTCAGCGCATCACTACCTCTGCTTCTAACTTCAACCTTTTTTTCCCACAACCCTATTATAGTTTCTGTATCAAAGTGCAGCTGTGAGAAGAATAGAGAACCTAATTGAGACTACATAATATATTCAACATTTAACATCTTTAGATTTCATTTTATATTGTTATTATTATATTATAGTGCAATAAATCATAATCACAAAACTGGATGCCAGTAAAATATGTGGCCAAATAGACAGACCTGTACGTTAGACCAGTGGTTTTCACACCTTTAAGCTTCTGCCCCACCTACTAACAGTTTCAMAAATGTGTTACTCCTGATATTACTGGTTCACATGCAAACTTTGCTAATAACTATATTAAATATGGGCATAATAATACAAACAAACTAATAACTATGATACTAATCTTATTTATGATTGTTGTGTTTTTTTTGCAGTTATTATGGTAAAAACTATTACATTAACAAAGTTTTTGTGTTTAAATTATTGTCTGGAAATCATCTGGGGACCCTCACTTCATGTTTCTAAACAGACACATTTATGGCCTAACTTGGTCATGTTGCCTGTGTCTTGTCTTATGTTCTTACAGGTGTCTTGTGTTCTTACATACAGGGGTTAGACAATGAAACTGAAACACCTGTCATTTTAGTGTGGGAGGTTTCATGGCCAAATTGGACCAGCCTGGTGGCCAGTCTTCATTAAATGCACATTGCACCAGTAAGAGCAGAGTGTGAAGGTTCAATTAGCAGGGTAAGAGCACAGTTTGGCTCAAAATATTGCAATGCACACAACATTATGGGTGACATACCAGAGTTCAGAAGAGGACAAATTGTTGGTGCACGTCTTGCTGACGCATGTGTGACCAAGACAGCAAGTCTTTGTGATGTATCAAGAGCCACAATATTCAGGGTAATGTTAACATATCACCAAGAAGGACGAACCACATCCAACAGGATTAACTGTGGACACAAGAGGAAGCTGTCTGAAAGGGACGTTATTCTAAAACCAGGTGTTTCAGTTTCACTGACCCCTGTATGTCTTGTGTTCTTACAGATGTTTTGTGTTCTTACARATGTCTTGTGGCTTGATGCCTTGTGTTCTTACAAATGTCTTACGTTCTTGATGTCTTGTGTTCTTCCAGATGTCTTCTGTTCTTACGCATGTCTTGTGTTCTTACAGATGTGTTCTTACAAATATCTTGTGTTCTTACAGATGCATTGTATTCTTTAAATCTTATGTCCTAATAAATGTCTTGTGTTCTTACAAAATCTTGTGTTTTTACAAATATCTTGTGTTCTCACAGATGACTTGCTCCTTTCGATGTCTTGTGTTCTTCCATTCTTATCATCTTGTGTTCTTACAGATGTCTTGTGTTCTTACAGGTGTTTTGTGTTCTTACATATGTATCATTTTCTTACAGGTGTCTTGTGTTCTTACAGATGTCTTGTGTTCTTACAGGTGTCTTGTGTTCTTCTTACATATGTCTTGTGTTCTTACAGATGTCTTATGTTCTTACAAGTGTCTTGTGTTCTTCCATATGTCTTGTGTTCTTCCATATGTCTTGTGTTCTTCCATTTGTCTTATGATCTTACAGGTGTCTTTTGTTCTTCCATATGTCTTGTGTTCTTACAGGTGTCTTGTGTTCTCACATATGTCTTGTGTTCTTGATGTCTTGTATTCTTACATATGTCTTGTGTTCTTACATATGTCTTGTGGCTTGATGTCTTCTGTTTTTACGTATGTCTTGTGTTCTTACAGATGTGTTCTTACAAATGTCCTGTGTTATTACAGATATCTTGTATTCTCACAGATGACTTGTTCCTTTAGATGTCTTGTGTTCTTCCATTCTCATCGTCTTGTGTTATATATGACTTGTCTCCTTACATGTGTCTTGTGTTCTTACATATTGTTTGTGTTCCTACAGATTTCTTGTGTTCTTGTAACACTTTAACCATTGTTGTAATTCAAATTCCACCCTGAGGTACAATAATAATATGAACTGAAGTGAAAAAGAGGAACAAGTGAAACGTGGGTTTACCACAACTGACATTATCATCCCAATAATAGTGCAGGTTTTGCTAATATTATGCATCTCTGAAGCTTTCCTGTTTTTAATTGCTGGGCTGCCAAAAAAGGATCAAATGAAATAAAAAATAAAATCTATCATGCCAGAATAAATTTATAATACCTATCCATCAATTTTTTTTACTAACAACAATGGGCTTGTTGTGAAAACATATAACTGCTGTTTTTGGAAATAGGATTGTTCCATGTCGGTGCATGTGTGTGTGAGTGTGTGTTGACTAATGCTCTTTTCTCTGCTTCCCCTCTSTCTGCATGTATTTCAGGCCTGAGGTCGTATCCTTGTCCCCTCCTCATGTGCCACTCTCATAGACAGGAGCCCTTGGAACTTTTCTGTGAGTCATGTGACCTTCTGTGCTGCAGCAGCTGTCACCTGTCCTCCCACAAAAACCACAGGTCAGTCCTCAGCGATGCACGGCACAAGGACACTGCAGAGAAAAAAGGCTAACCGCAGGTTAAACACTTCCTGTGAGCTGAAACGCGCTCTAACTGCCTTGTCACTTTTATCTTGTGCATCTGCATACGGTACCCTTGGCCGTGTCTCCGTTTCWTTAAGGATTCATACCTGTTTGTTTTCTGCGATGTTACAGTGCGGTTGCTATCTCGAAGGTCACCTGCATAATGTCTTTTCCTCCGGGGAGACATGGTTAATTCTGTTTGTTTTTTTCTTAWAGCCGAAGAATAAATTAGTGAAGTTTGGTGGATCACTTGTGTGTTCAGGGTGGAGCAGATTGGGAAGGCCCTGCAGGACCAGCAGTGGCTGTTTGAGAACCTGATGGTGCAAGTGGAAGAGAGGAGATCTTTAGTGGAGAACAGTGCTAAACAAATAGAAGACAGGTTGGTTTGAACCCAAACTGCAGGCAGGCTTTGCAGTAAGYGTGAATAATCAAACAGCACGTGACATAGCATGTTAATGAGTAAATTAATGCCTAGATTGTTGCTTTTTTATGAATTTTGAAACCTTTCCCCCCTGCTCTGTCTGTGTAGGCTACACGGAGTGAAGATTGCACACAGGAAGGCAGAGAACCAGATTAAAATGGCAAAGATGATTATGATGAACGAGCTTAACAAACGAGCCAACCTATTAATAGAGCAACTGGAGGTAATTACTTTCTCTTTCTTCCCTTCTTATCGCTCAGCCAGCCGTGAGTMTTCATGCAGAGAATCCATAACTGCAGTGATTTAATCTGTGCCCAAACCAAGCAAACAAGAGCCAGTAATCATCTCGAAAACGTCGCCAAAACTGACGTCTCAGGAGCCACACCTGTCAAAATAAAAACCGATCTGCTGATCACGCTGCTTCTGCACGTAAACACTTCACCTGCCTGTTTTCTGGATTCTCCCTGCAGAAGATTTCGGAGGACTTTCAGCAGCGTCTGGAGGACCAGCTGCAAGGGGCAATAGAGATCTGTGGCCAGCTGGACCACCTTCAGAAGTTCATCACCTGGGCCACGACCCATCACTGCCGAGGCCCGGTTCTCTTCAGCAGGGCCCTGGTGAGATGGTCAACAGACGTCCACTGTCCCACTGCAACACACAAACCCACACATGAGGGCAGGAGTTCGGGGGCAGGACTAGTTTTTAATCTGCTATAAAAAATGTAACTCCCTGCAAAGTTTACGTTTGAATTTGAACTTTAATTACACTTAAAAATCAGTTTGCCAGTCACAGAGACTTCCCGTCATCTTGTGAAAACACTTGTCCTCCACGTGGGTGAAGAACCTGTACAGGCAGCTTCAGGAAACTGCTGAAGTCGCATCGGTGGCTTGGCTTTAGCTCGGGCTCAGATACAACGAGCCTGTGTTACTGTGTGCAATGAGCTCAAAGCATGGGAGCTTTTATCAGGCAGCTGGGGTTTAAAAATAACAAAGGAGGTGTAGGATGCAGTACATTTGGAGCTCCACACATTTAAGGGACAAGAATGTCAGCATATTAGGGCCTCTGCATCACTTTTGACTGCACTTTAAAGAGTCTGTCTCCGTTAAAACCTGGAACTTGAACCATTAGGATTTAATTCAACYTATGGCTTCACAAGTTATTTTCCTTAGTGTTTTATTTAGTTATAAATCTAATTGCTTTTTAAAAAATGTGATATACGCTGGTGCTTTTTAACACAACGGTAGTTATTCATATGATTGTCCTTTGTATGTACAGTGGTTCAAATGTGCACATTTTTCATGTTTGAAGCTGTTTTTATTTATATTATACACATTTGTCCTGCAGATTTCACTCCAGATGCAGCAGCTGCTTGAAGCATCACTCCACCCAGACTCTTGGAACCCTTTAAAGATTAAATTTAACTGGGATGCAAGCTACTGGACGAAGCAGATTTCTTCTTTAGGTAAACTTTTATGCAATCTAAACAAGAGAACTGTATTTAAATGTTTCACACTTCATTTAAATTATTTAAAATCTATATCAAAATAGGAAAAATTGCATTTTCTTACAGAAAATGCAGAGTTCTTAAAGGCTGCTGAAATTTGCTGAAGAACCTAACATCAAGCTGTTAAAGCAGAGACTAATGCAAACAAAACAGCCTTAAATTAGCAGAACGTAGCTAAATCTAGCAAACCAAATGCTGAAATTAAAACAAGTAAAACAGTTGCTGAAGCTAAAATTAGTAAAATATTAGCTATAATTAGCTAACCTGTAGGTACAAGTCGTAAACTAATCAAAAAGCCAATACCAACAAAACAGTACCTACGATTAGCAAAACTGCAGCAAAAAGCTAAAAGGAGCAGAATGTTAGCTCAAATATAAATATATAAGCTAAAATMAGAAGAAAAGGAGCCTTAGGCTAAAAGTAGCTAAATTGTAGTCAAAACTATCAAAGCAGTGTCTAAAAGCTAAAAGTTGCAGAACAGTAGCTAAAACCCAAAAGTGGCAAAAATTGTAGTTAAAAGTAGCTTGATGAAACAAAAATAGAGCAATGTTTTTTTAAAAATGTAAAAGATCTCAATGTGTTTCTGTGGAGAGTTTTATTACAAATAAAGTTGAGTAATTTTGAAAATAATTTTAAATAAAAAAACTCAAAGCTTATACTCTACTGATCGAGTGGAACCTTTTGATATATAAATTGTTAAAATAGCACAAAGTATGCAAAAAAACAGGAAAACAGTGTGAATGGTGATTCAGCCTTTAAACATAAAATAGTTTCTCATGTGCACCATCTTCTTGTGTTTTATTCGTATAGTTTTATTTTTGTGACTTTTTGCAGGCCAGCTGACTGTAGAAGGGGGAAACTGTGCTTATCCTCCCGGCTTGGCCTGTTCCAGTATTATGAGGCCTCAGCCCATCTCCTGCTTGGCTCTGCCCAGCTTGTTTCACAGAGGCAGAGATCCAGGCTGTGGGTACCAGACCTGCTGCGAGCCGCAGATGTGTTGCCTGCACGGTGTTCCCCCTCAGTCCGATCTTTCCAGTCTGGACAAAAACCAGATGGAAGCAACACTTTTCAGCTCCGGCTGCAGTCAGCCCGCTCTCATCTCCGCTCCAGTGCACCAGAGTCAGCAGCTCCAGAGGTTTTGGGACACGGAGAGCTCCTTACAGTGTCCTCCCCCTCCTGCGTCCTCTCTCCCCGGACCCGTCCAAGTCAACTGCAGCCAAGGATCTGCATCCCAACCACAGACTGATGACACCCTACCCCACCCATACTCAGCCTGCCACCAACCCAGGAAGGACGTCGCCTCTGAGCGCTCCAGGTTGGGTCCGTGTAAGGAGAAGCTGTTGAGCGGCCCGGCTCAGCAGCTGGAGCTCAGCCTCAAAGGCGCGGACAGAGACATGATGACTGAGGAGAGGTGCAGAGAGGAGGAGGAGGAGGACACATGTGGACGGACAGCAGAGGCTGGAGGCGGGGACCGGCTTGACGAGGAGCTGGAGGCAGACGGGAGGGGGCCGAGTCCCGTCCAACAGCAGCTTCACATGTCTGCAGCAGCAGAGCAGCAGAGGACCAGATCTGCTCTGATGCTCAGAGACCACAGAGGTGGGAAGGTGAGTGAGAGGGTTCATATTGACCATAGACCCCCAAAACAAATGCTGCAAATCATTTTTAAACACGCACAAAATCTAAATACAATTTCACCTCATGGTTTTTTCAGCCCGTTTTCCGTGTTTTTCTGTTGGCTGTGAAGAATTCCAGCTCAGTTTCTCATATTTATGAGCACATTTTTACACATTGCAATTGCTGTGAAATTTTGACAGCCTGGCTCAGGAACACATTTGCTGTAACCTAATAAATAAGGATGTTTAAAAATAAATGAATTAAGAACATGCATCATTTTCTACAAGTTTTTGTTCATAAATTACATTCATTTGATGATTTTAAAATCTGATTGTGCAAACAGCATTGTAAAGCATGAGCAGCTGAGTTGTGAACACCACTTTTAATTTATGTTGTCAAAGTGAAGAGTCTGGTGGGAATCTACATGCGCTTCAGTCATTTCTTTTTTCTTGTGGTTACAGCTCAGTCTTTAAAAGCTCAAACAACGATGTATTTTTTTTTTCACAGTATGGTAAACCACAAAAAATGTTTCTACAACCTATCAAAAGCCGTCACGGATCACTCAAACCCATTTCCTCTGAAAACACAGATGTTCAAACACTCGGTTCAGAATAACAAAGCACAAAGGTGAAAAGACACAAAGCAAAAACAGACAGTGATAATTTTTTTAAATGACACGTTAGTCTAGCTTAAAAAAAATAAAATGGTTTTTGTAAAGGAAGAGGTGAGGCTGAGTTTGAGGCAGCTTTTAGTTTCAGTTGAGACCTGTGAACAACTGAAACCAACACTGTATTTTAAAGCCAAGTTGTCACTTCTGAAAGTTGATGGATTGTCTAAAAAAGGCAGTGCAACATAAACCTGCTTCCGCTTTTATGAAGTAAAGATGACGGGAAAACAAAGATCCGCTCTGACAATTAAAGCCGAGCCGCTCAAAGCGACGCATCCTGAAACGAGACGCTCTTCATCATCATAATCACACTTGATGGCGCTTGGTTTTAACTGCCGCATAATCGTCCTCTCCAAGAAATGCTCGAGATGGATGATTACAAGCACAAAGACGTGTTATTTTTGCATTACTTGAGTCACTGAGTTTTAAAATGATCATAAAACCACCTGGGAGTGCCTATTTATGTACTTAACCTATCATTAATGAGCCACTGAGGGAATAGCAGGGAGCTGCCGGTGTGATTTTAGCCCCGGTTRACAGCGAGATAAATTTCTGCTCCTCACCATTATCCAGAGGGAAGGATTAGAGTCCATGCTCCTCTGCAGTTTGAATGTAGCATCCCTCTCCCAGGAGGCTGGGATCAGGTACATGTTTTAATCACATGATACTCGGGATAATGAGCTCAGTTTAAGTTTGGCCTGAATATGTATGATGGTGTGCTAGAATAAAATGGGACTTTATTTWAAAAAAAAGCGGATGCTAAATGTTTTATAAGCCTTCCTGTTTGAGTTAGCTGAAGAAAATCTCTGTAAGTTAAACTAAGTACGAGAGGAAGAGTGTGGTTTAATAAAAAAAAAACTGACACTAAATTTGCATTTGATAATTGGTGTTTTAACCCAGCCTTTCATTCCCTGTACAATAACAATAATATATGCAGCATGTTTGTGAGGACCGAGTTGTTTTCATTTTTACTGAACAGCCTCTGAATGATGTTGTTATTCATTCGTCCACCCTCTTTCTCCTCTATTCACTTGTTAATGACACAAACAGGTGCGTTTGTGGTTCGGATTAGACTCGGAACCCTGTTTATTCGTGTGTGTGTGTGTGTGTGTGTGTGTGTGGTAATGTCTCTGACAGAGGACCACGTCCCTGGAGGTGTCAGCGGCGGCCCACGACGGTGCGTCTGACGTGCAGAGCTGCAGGATCAGCCCCGGCTCTGCGAGGAGGAAGGGACGCTCCCGGAGCATCCCGACAGAGCTGACAGCTCCTTCCTCCAGCCCCTACGCCGAAAGGCCRGCGGGATGCGCTGACAGCCGGGAAACGGGAGCTGCAAAGAAGGTAGAACGTCAGAATATAATCACACACTGAGACACGGAGGCTGTGCTGTCGCTTTGCGCTGGTTATCAATAATGCATAAAAGTAGATCAAAGGTTTCCAGTACAAATTGTTAGCATGCAAATAGTGAAAATACACGTGGGGGGAAAAAGAAGATGTGTTTTGAAGGTTTTCTGGAGCTTATTTTTCTCATCAAACCAGCATGCTCAGATGTTTTGGAATCACATTATTTATTTGCAACGTGTTGAAATATCAAAAAAAAAAAAAAAAAAGAGAGAGATAAACGAGAGTTAGAGGCAGGGACTTTCTGCCAGATCATCCCGTGGAGAGGAAGCTCCTCATCCTCAAATCTTCATCAGCCCGTTGCCAAAAAAAAAAAAGATTAATCAGAGTAAAGTAAAAATAAATGATTTACAACATTATTACAAGTTCTTCAATCTGACTTTTTATTCAGCTGGAGGTCTAAACATATCAATTTAATGAATCAATGAATTGTTTTCAGTTTGACGTTATGGATTCCAAACAAAGAAGAGCCTCAGATGGAGTGCTTTGTGTTGTCAAAGAAACTGAGAAGACCCCACCCAGAGGACGCCTGTCACCTTCATTACCCTACAAACTAGAGCCAGGTGCTGGAAGCTTATTTTAAAAGCGTTTATCTGAAAATTATCGGGACATTCAGTAGAATGAATGGCATCTTTGTACGTTTTGTCCAGTTCATCCAGTCGCTTTTGTGAACGAGGAGATCGGTTATGGAGCCAAGGAGAAACACAGAACGTCCAAAAACGGCTTCAGCAGGTCAGCAGTCTTTGAGTCAAACATTTGTTCACGCATAAACGTTTGAGAACACGTTTTCATTTACTTCCATCGTTTTCTTAACGCCAAAAGCAACGGAGAGACGGTGAAGGACTCGGGCCGACCCAGGGTGCCCGTTGTTTGTTTGGAGCGTCTCAAAGTCCTCGTGTCGCAGCTTCCACCGCACGGACGAAGGCAGAGCGACCCTCTGCCCTCCAGCGAGAGGGACAAGACTGAACCTGTCCCTCAGCAGAGAACCTGGCACTTTGGAACATCAGAGGTCTGTTCTATTTCTGCCACAGTTAACTAACATTTAACCCAGAAGTAGCTAAAACTATGCTTACTTAGTTATTATACTTATAATAACTACACAACATACATTCCTCAGGCATATCGTTGTACACCATATACATCACAGATTACAATATTAATGATCAATCCATTCCAAGTCCTACGAGTGGTCTCAGATATATAAACAAAGCAGTTTGGTCTTTAACTGTTTTTAAAGGTGGAGATGAATTTCAACTCCTGTCAGGGATTGGCAACTTAAATGATGGAAGTGGCCACAATATACTAWATCATACTTCACCTAAGAAGAAAACTACAGAATGTGTGGTGCGTTTAAAAATCAGTAAATAAACKACCCCAATAAATTTSTTCAGTACAGTAACTTAAAATATTTCATGCTTAAATGAATGTATAACAGTTGTAAGCAAGCAAATAAGAAACCTTTAGTTTAGTGATTTTAGCTCAGTATCTGTTAAATTAACTGAGTCAGGGATGTGCAACTGGTGGCCTGTGGGCCACATCTTGCCCGRAGGTGACTTCCATCCGGTACGCCAATGGAACCCTCCCCCAAARGAATAAAAAAAATAAAAAAATATTCCTTAATATTTAATAAAAATGACTGAAAACAGATCTTAGAATCAAAGTGTTGAGTGCTTTTTAAAAATTAAAATAAAGACGTATATTTTTTGTTCTGGGAGGTAGACTATCTGTTCACAGAATTTCAAGGCAAACCTATGTTTTTAGTCTGCTTAGAGACGCTGTGTGCCATAAAGTTTTTTTTAATCATTTAACTTTTTATTGGAGATTTCCACATATATTTTACATATAAAGCGTGCATGTAAAATCGTACAACAATATATAACATAAAATAAAACTTTTGCTTGGGAGCTACTTTTTTTATCAGACTTTTGTCTCATCCAGTTTGTCAAGTTCGTTCTCTATTCTTTGTCGCTGTCTTTTGTTTTGAATAGTGTCCATTTCGTCCATTTTTCTTTCATTTGCCGTCTCGTCTCAGGCGATATTTCAAATTTTCCATGATGTAGATTTCTTCTGTTATCCCAATCTGTTGTTTGCCATAAAGGATTTTAATGTATGTCACCACTACACATGTTGCACAAAGCTAAATATGAGTTTACTGAAGTTACAAGGACCTAAACAACGGCAATCTTTTACCAGAACCATGCAGGAGTCTGCACTCAAGGCGTCTTAAACCGCTGCACTTCAGCTCAGTAAAATAAGTGTTAATCCTTTGTTTGCTGCAAATGTTTTATGTTCATATTTTTTTAAACAAGAGTACAACTGTTATACGTGCATTTGAGCATGAAATACAGTATGTTGTTACTTCACTGTATGTTGGTTTAATAAACATAGGTTTACAAAAACATTTTCAAAATGGCAGTTTCATTACATTTCATCATTTAAGCTGCCCATCCCTGATTTAGGCGATGGAGTGATTCTGACTTTAATTTAGTCTCACACTGAAGATAAAGTATTAAAAACTAAGTTGAAAAATAAAAATAGCTAACATCTGTTTTTTCTTATGAACTTAGGGAATAACTCGAGGCTCTGGCACCAGGAGGACCACCCGCTCCCTCACGGCGCCTTCATACTCACAAACCCACATTCAGTCATCCATGTCCTCAAATAGCAGCGACTTTGACAGCCACAACAACAGAAGACAGCTCAGCTCTCAGAAAGCATCTGTCCTGCTTCCCACCGACGCTCACTGTGTGCCACAACATTACCCCGTGCTCGATCTGGACTCTGACTCTGACCCCAGGTCGGTTTCAGAGGATCCTTTTGTTTCAATCGATCCAGACCCGCGGCAAAACTCGGACGCATCGCCGGACTCTGATCCCAACGCACAGTCATCGTCCGAGGCTGAATTCATCTTCGTGGCTGAGCGGAAACCAGCAGCTGCGGCAGAGAGGAGGCTGTGCGGAGATTCGGAGCCAAGTCTTGAATATGAGGCAGATCCAGACTCAGATGAGGGACAGGAGCTGGACGCTGACGCCGAGTTGGGGGATGCCGAAACAGAGTCTGACACTCAGCCTGATTATGATCCGATTTTTCAGGCTGAAACGGATTCCGACGCCGTGTCCGGTCAGCCTCAAGACTCCCAGGCCTCCCTGGAGTCCGAGCTGGACCTGGAATCTGAGCTTGAGCTGGCCGCCGACGACCCCCAGCCGCTCCGCTCGGACCTGGAGGAGGAGTCCCCCGTCGGTCCAGCTCAGAGGCCTCTTCTGATCGCAAACCCCGGCGCTCAGAGGGTGGCGGAGGAGGCCCAGACTGAGCGGGACGTGGACGAGATGGAGAGCGAGGACTTCTGTGCCGTGTGTCTGATAGGAGGCGAGCTGCTGTGCTGTGACCGCTGTCCAAAAGTCTTCCACCTGTCCTGCCACGTCCCACCTCTCCTCAGCTTCCCCACGTAAGATTCCCACAATACACCTTACGTTACAAACAACCTCCCACCTGTTGTTGAACATGAAATCTGAAGCTGTAACGACCTGGTTGTTTCCCCCTCATTCAGTGGCGACTGGGTGTGCAGCCTGTGCAGAGATGTTGTACAGCCAGAGGTGGAATACAGCTGTGAGAACGAGAGAACACCTGGAGTTCACACTCACGGACTGTCAGCGTGTGACCAGAGAGTGGGAAATTCTTTTGTTTGCACTGATTTAAACTACTGGAATTTTGTTATCACCCATCACTTAAAGACAACTCATGTTTCTCAGCGTAGATTATCTTAAAGGAGACATATCCTGCTTTTAAATCCTTCTTTTCCACATTTAAATCATTCAGTTGTGTTCTACATAAAATTGAACTGCAATGCTTTGCTTTGAATTCCTCATTGCTGTAACTCCACAAGCCCCTCTTTCACCCCTTTTCTGAGGGGTGTCTCAGACCAACTCATTTTGAGGCTGTCTCTTTAAATCCAAACAAGTCACTTCACACTCCCCCACCCCTCCAGCTTCCAGAGAGATACTTTCCAGTTTTTGACTATATAGCGAAGCAGAAATGATTTATTTTATTTTTTACAAATTAACTAAAAGTTAACAACAAGTGAAGACTTGTCCATCTAGCCTTTCATGTATATTATTATTTGGCAGTTCTGTCACAAATAATTTGACGTAATAGTTCAGAAAATGTCATAGAAAACAGAGAAAACTGAAAAATATGACCCAAACAGAATATAAAGATATCTACGCAGCACCGAGTGCAACTTTTCTGCACTCCTAGAGACTCCAAGAACACAACAAAATGTATTTAGCTAAAAAAATAAATAAAGATTTTGCATGATATGTCCCCTTTAATCTGAAATTTTTGCATGAAAGGTGGTGGGTGAACACCAGGACTTCAGTTAAAATGTTTTAATCATTCTTATTTTATGTCTGCAGAAATGCGAGCGACTGACGCTTCTGATTCTCAGCAACATGTTGAGCGCTCCCTTCCACGAGCCCGTCAGTCCGCTTGTGAGTCTTTGTGCTCTTACAATCCAGTTCCACTGATCATTTTCACACTTACCGTTCATGTTTCATCTCAGGCACACAGTGGTGCCCCGAGGAGCACTCCTTTTGTTTCAGCGCATGCAAACACACTTTGTCTGCTGTATTTGTCTGGGCTTTTGGGTTCCCCCCCAAGGAGGTCTTGTTTTAAACAAAGTTGCTTTCATTTTCGTTCTTTTTTTCTTCATCAAAGCATAGTGAGTACATCCTTAGGGCCTCACAACTATGTTACACGCGCTTCCATCTCTGTAAGATATTCACAAAGCTGCGCGTTCAAAAGAACTGAATTGTGTTTACATCAGCTCATTTTTGGTGGTAGTGCTTTGTGTTGAACCTTTTTCCTGTTGTCGTTTGAGAAGTTTAAAACATGGATATTTACGACCCATTATATTTTAAAGAGTATTATTAAAAATGGCTGCTACAGCTGATGGACGTTTGCAAACATGTAACTTGTAGAATTTCTGAATGTCAAAATGATATATTGTGTATAAAAAGAGACACATCCTGCAGTGATACACAARGCAAAGCAGTATGGTGCTCGAGAAACATTTTTATTGAGATAAACAAAAGTTTTAAATGTGTTTGTCTTGCAGGCACGCCATTACTACCAGATCATCAAGAGGCCGATGGATCTGTCAGTGATCAGAGCTAAACTCAATAAGGGAAATTCCAAACATTACAGCTCAGCGGATCAGTTTGTTACTGATGTTTATCTCATGTTCCGTAATTGTGCAAAGTTTAATTATGTAAGTAAAAAAAAATAAGCATCTTCATGTGTGTTTTTGGAGTTTAATGAACAGTTTTTTTTGTGTGACTCTGTGACCACAGCCCGACTCTGAGGTGGCCCAGGCGGGACGCAGCCTCGAGGTCTTCTTCACCTCAAAGCTGGGAGAAGTTTTCCCCGACAGAGTGTTCCCCGCGGCTGAGGTGGACTCGGACAGCGACGAGAACGACGCCGCCTGCTGGGCCGCTGAAAGTGGGTTCCCCTGGCCGGAGAGGAGGGAGCAGAGCCACAGGAAGAGGAAGAGGAGGCAGTCGATCAAGTCGAGGAGGCACCACTTCTAACCAGAAAGTTAAAGCAGCAAAGGTTTTTGTGTGGAGGCATCCAGTTTTTTAAATTAATTTTCTAATTTTAAGGGTTGTTGTGACTTGCAAAAACATCACAGTGCTGCCATCTGATGGCAGCTGAGCATATTGACACTTTACTGACTTTTCTTCCTGCAGGCAGCTGATCAAATGAGCAGAGCAGGTAAAAACCTGTTTAGGCTGCATATTGTTTGCTACACATTCAGAAATCTACCTTTAGATGTCAGCAGAGTTCATTTAACATTTTCTCCACTTGTTTGTCTTGATGCACTGTTCCATGTATTTACATGTAAACTTTAAAAAATCCTGCACGCTTTATTCTATATGCTGTATTATACAAAGAGGGTGATATAATGAGATGGTTTTTGCATCTATTTTAGGTGAACTTTTCTAGGGTGGTAGAGTAAAAGTCAAAGAATAATATTGCTTGTAAGTTTGATACTTTTCATGTTTTAAATTTAATTTATTACTATTTTATTATTATTATTTGTTTTTTTTTTTTTACAAAAGTTTTGTTATATACATACGTGCCAGTAGAGAAATAAATTCTGCAGTCTCCCCCATCCCCCCAAGTTTAAGGAACTTTGCACTTATCTTAGGTTTAATTCTTGATATAATTTGTGTTCCTGTACTTTTATTTTGAAATGCAACAGCAGATTATTTGTGTTTTTGAGCAGAATAGATTAGAAGGTCAGTCACTGCAGGCACTATAACATCTGCTAGAGTTTAGTGGAGCTAATAAGATATAAAATTTTATGTTTTCATAAAACAATCCAAAAGTCTGTGTACTTTGTATTTAATGTCAGCTTCACCTGTGTTTCTGCTAGATTTTGGACAATTTTATTCTCTAACTCAGGCGTGTATGATTTTAATATTATCTTGTGTTATTACAATGTCTTTACTATTTGTAGAATCATATTATAAAAGTATAAAGGACCTAAAGCATTTTCTGCATTAAACTATTGTACGTTCAATTCTCACTGCAGCCTAAAGTAGACGTCACCTGACTTTTGTTTCACAGATGATTGTTTAGTATGTTTCACGTTATTCTTTTAAAAACTGTAACGTTTCTGTTTATTTYAAGGGCGACTGATCAACTTTACTTACTGTTTCTAGAGGTTATTTTTTGTTGTTATTTTTACTGTAACAGACTTCAATAAAATGCACATATTGGTTAAAAATTTTGTAAAAGTATGATAATTTCCGAAACATTCAAAAACTCGTATCACAATGTAACTCTGTTTTAGGGAATCTCTATGATAAAAAAAACAAACAAAACCTGATTATATTTTTCAGATTTGTGTGTTTTAGTTTATTCTATTTTTTAAAAATATAAATCATTTACATTTCACACAAATTCTCCAGCTTTTCGAGTGTATTTTTTTAATAGAACATTTATCTTTTATTGCCCAATGGGTTTTGCTCAGCCTTTACAAGTTACAGCAAAATCAGTTTAATGTGCAGAAAAACATCTTTTTTCTGTTTGTTTAAAATTAATGACAGTATTTATTTTACAGACTGTAACAAATCTTAGTTTCTTTGGTGAATTACATTTCACCTGCAGCTTACATTAATTGGCTCATTTGCTTCCTTAAATAAATWATTCACAACAATAAATACAGCAGAATGAGTCTTAAATTCCCTTTTAGAGTCTTGTTTTATTAATGGTACAAATATATACAGCACYTATTTTTCACTGGTTTTCAATTTAACTCCTAAAAAACAAACTTTCAATTCAAAACTTTAGGGGAAAATGGCCTTTTGTTTTCAACGTTTAAAGTTATTTTGTTTACTTTGTCACGTGTTCCCCAGATGAGAGTGAAATAAATCTCTTTATCCTGTAGRTGATCATAGGGGAGTTGTGACATTTTTATTGGCTTTAGTAATTATAACTTTTTCAAAAGATGGCTGCGTTTTAATTCTGCAGCAACMTTTTGCTGTGTCAGAGTGGAGGCAGCAGCTGTATCCTGCAGCAGTATGTGAAGTATGTGCCATCAGTGACCGAGAACTGAGAATAAAATAAAAGGAGTATTGTGGATGTGCTTAACTGGTGACAAAGTTGAGTAATGAGCTCAGATGAAAACGTGCAGACCTGCTATTGAAAATCACATTTTAACACYTTGGACAATGAAGAATCCCATGTATGATGATGTTTACATGTTTAAGGCACAAAACAGGAAAAATCTTTTTTTTATTAAGATCTCTCAGTCGTTTTACACAGATCAGAGCTATCTTGAATTTGTTTTTTTTTTAATTTGTTTGTTTTTTTGCTCCATGCTGGTGAAAGTACAGTCCTCCTAGTAGGAACTGGAATGAAAATGTACACCTCGGCGCTTCTTGGAGATGCCTTTTCCCAATGACTTGAAGATTTTCAGCCTCTTGACAAAACTCATTTGTCATGTGATGGATTGCCTCAAGCACTTCACTTGCAGCGGACAAAACAGTGAGGCACCAAGTCCAGGGCCAAACTCATCAATAATGTTTTAGAAATGGTCTGATAGGTAAGTTAGTTTTTTTTTTTAAATCTGTTAATGACTGTAGAAAGCATAGAACTAAATGTATAATTTTTTGGATTTTTTTTTCTAAAAGTGGTTGCTTTCAGTGAAGGTCCCACATCATTAATTCCTAAATATGATGCCACTCACCTTCAGTCTACTGCTATATGAAGGCCACAAGAGATCAAATTTCCTTCTATTCGAATTAAATATTTAAAAATTATTCATAACACAAATTCTGAGTAAAGCCAGAGTTAAATCTCACWTCAGGATTAAAGTTCAAGCTCCTCAAACAGCCCTGCTGAAAGATTTACAGATGACTTCTTCCACATATTTAARTTTTGAAACCACATTATGGTTTTTAATTTAAATGGAGTTTTGAAATGCTATAACCCAACAAACACAAATGTTATAAAACAGCAAGCAAAGAAATAAAAGAATATAAAACAATAACAYGGCAGATATAAAAATAACTGACTTTGAAAAAAAATCAATAGAGAGAATACAATTGCTCACAGGTGTCTGCCCCAATTTTCTGGTGCAAAAAAGGGATCTTTAAAAAAATCATACAAGAAAAAAAAACCCCACACAACCAATTTCAGTAAATTTAACTTATTTATGACCAATATTTGAATCAATAAAATCACAGACAAATTAAAACAGTTATCTGT